AGGGGTAGAATAGGGAGGGAGAAAGGTGGCCAGGACACCATTCCTGCTGAGCCCTGCATGGTGTTTGGGGCACTAGACCTGAGTACTCGTGTCACAGAAGAGAGACCTCAGATACAGACAGGTCACCACACCTGGCCAAGGCCACTCCACCAGTCAGCCACCAGGGACAAGCCATGTCTGCTAGCTGGGACCTGCTGGAGCCCTGCGGGAGCTTTAGGAGGGCAGCTGCTGACCTTCCAGCCAGCCCCAGCTCTGGGCAGATGGCTACACCACGCCTTGGGCTGGGCGCCTCATGTCCCACTGCGGCTCCAAGGCACAGCTCCTCCTCCCCAGAGCCCAGAGGTCAAACAGGGCCTTCCTCCCGTACCCTTGCTCCTAGCGTCTGCAGAGCTCCAGCAGACTCCCCTGGCTATAGGCTGCAGGGCTGTGGGAAGGGCTGGGCTCCTCTCCCAGCCCCACCCTCTCCATGGAGGCTGACCTGCCCAGGCACTGCTGCTGGGAACAGTGGCCTGAAGCTCAGCCACAGGAGCAGACACAGCCCATGCTGTGGGTGACACCCAGGCATGGAATGGTCAAGGAGCATGACCGGGCAAGGCCTGCAGTGACCTGCAGGAGCTATGGAGAGCAGAGGGCAGGGTAGGCATGATGTCTGAGCCCGAGGCTGGGGGCTGGATGCTGCACCTAGACCCCAGGCTCTGAGCACACATTGCTATGGTCTGACTCATGTTTTTAAAGACCACCTTGACCTCTGCATAGAATCAACTATTAGCACAAGATGAGAGGTGGGAGGACAGGTGGGGGCGGGGAAGGGGTACAGTGGTTGGACCAGAGGGTCACATGGTAGAGGGTAAGAAGTGGTCAGGCAGGATTTCTCAAGAGGAGAGTGGATGGACCAGTTGATGGCCTATGAGAATGGAGGCCTCTGACTGAGAGGTCCCGGTGGACAGGCCAGCCAGGAGACAGGAGGGTGCCGTTGGAGGGCCACCAGTAGAATCTGAGCACCCAAGAGGGATTCCAAGCTGTGAGGCAGGCAAGACAAGGGGAAGGGAGCGGGGGAAGGGAGAGAGAAAGGCGACCGGGCTGGGGCCCAGGGCAGCGCATCCACCAGCAAAGCAGCAGCTCAGGAGGGCGGGGCCGCCGGGCAGAGGAGACCTCCGAGGGAGAAAGCGTGGGCCAGGAACCTGAGCAGACACTCCTCCAGAAAGACACCTATGGCCAACAGCACGAAAGAGGAGCTGGACATCGTGTGCCATCAGGAAAACACTAATCAGGGACAGGAGATGCCACCTCATTCCTACCAGGAGGACAGAATCTGGAGGGCAATGATAAGCGGGGTCAGGAGGTGGAGAGCCCGGAACCCTAGCCTGCCAGGGGCATGCGGACGGAAGCAGGGCAGCTCCCTCACCACCCTCCCCTGGCTGGCCGCCGCCCCTGCAGGCACTGCCTTGAGGCTCTTCACAGCTGCACCTCAGGCCACCTTCCTGGGGGGTGCCCAGAGGTGCCAGGTTCGGTCTCACCTGTGAAGTGAGGGAGCAGGGATGCTCCAGGCCCACCTTGGCCTCTGCCCACCCACAGCTCCCTCTACTCACAGGTGGTCCCTGTTCCTCAGCCACCTGAAATTCTCATCCCCAGCGCCCAGGGAGAGGGTCCCTATCAGACAGGCCAGGCCATGAGGTCAGCTCCCCACACCCASCTGGCCATCCACTCACCATAGAGACTTGGTAAAACCTGAGGTCACTCCCTCATCTAGGAATTTTTATGGGGGTTGTGAGCTTGATACGAGGCAAGAGAAGCCCAGACCCCCTCCAGCCAGCTCCGCTGCATGTTCTGGGTCATTTCCCAGATCTGGGGACCAGGCAAACAAGAGGGCCATTTCTCCAAAAGCCCTGCACAGCTCTGACTTGGTCTTCCATGCCATCAGTCATGTGCCTCCCTTCTAGAACCTTCCACTGGCTTGAAGGGCTGTGGAATTAAAGTCAACAATCTATCCCAGATTCTGGGGTCCTATGTGGTCTGGCCCAAGCCTAACGCCTTCTCCCTGCCAGTCTCCCAGCAGGGCCATCACAGAGTGGCAGTGGCCTCCTCTGGCTCCTCAAACTCACCCTGACTGACGCTGCTTCAGGGCCTGTGGTGGTGTGAGGAAATGGCTGCAAAATTCTTTGGCTTGCCTGTCCCCGAGAAGCAGAGTTCTCACCCTTCTCTTGGAACCCAGGCAGGCTTTGACCAACACAGAACAGGACTGACCCCGGGCAACTTCTAAGAGGGACTATGAAGGACGAGACATCTGCCTTTTTTGCTGGAGTGTTGGCAGGAGGCCTGGGCTAGCAGGAGAGGAGGTGGCCATTAGGCCACCATGCCGGCAGGGAGCCCCACTGCCTAGGGAGACCAGGCAGCTGCTCCAGGAGACAGTCCCAGCAGAGCTCAGACCTGAGACATCCCAGGTGCCAGTCCTGGGCATAAAGGAACCTACAAATGATCTAACCACCCCTGCACACACCCCACCCACCCCAGGGCTATAAACAGTCCCAGTGCGGCCCAGACAAAGGCTCCCCGCTGCTCATGCTAGACCCTGACCCACCAACTYGGAGGCCTTTCATCCCATTGTCATTGAGGTCCTGCGTGTGGTCCAGCCCCAGGGCTGCTCAACAGCTTCCCCACCCCCCAGCAGACTCCACATCCATGAACTCCCATCCCAGCCTCCATGGCAGCTAGCAAGCCCGAGGACAGCCAAACACAACCCTGCTCACTCTGCTCCCAGGCAAGGCCCTCCCCTGCCTTCGGTTCCCCATGAGTCATGAGGGGGCTTAGGTCTGGACAGCCAACCCTATTCTGAGTGCGTCTCGGGCCCCAGGTCAGCTCTAGAGGGAAGGCCAACAGTTAGCCCAATTGCTCCTGTGCCCATGACCACAGGGCACAGGAGCAATTGGACTAAATCCCATTACAGAAGCCTTCTAGGGGCACAGGGCAGCCTGAGCCGGAGTGTGCCTCCCCTCCTGGCCCTCGAGCAAGTCCTGAGTCCTGCAGGTGTGTGTGCAGGAGTGCTCAGTCACAGGGGGCCAGGGACAAGACACTCACGCAGCTCTGTGTCCTGCCCGTCTGAGCTTGGCTGCCACGTGTGAGGCTRTTAAGACTGAGCCCCTCGAGAGTCGCCTGCACAGGCCCTGGCACTAGGGTATCTGAATCCCTTCTGGTGCCCATCGGACATGCAAACCCTGGTGGGAGAGTGCTGCTCACAGAGAGCTGGGAGCCCAGCCTGCCAGGACCCTATCACTGCCCACTGAGCCACAGACTAGAGGCCCCTGGAGGTCACCCCCACCTCGGCTACCCTGACTGCACACGACAGAACAGGGGTGAGTGGAAGACACCACTGTGAACTCGTGTGGAAATCGGGGAAGCTGGCCCACAGAAAGGAGCTGGAAAGCCTGGGAGCAGGACCCTCTGCCACACACCAGGAGGGTGCTGGCCCACAAGTCCCCTCCACCCTACTGTGAACCAGGAAGCCCCCTGGTGGACTTTATGAGCAGAATCACCCAAGGTCCACCAACCAGGATGGGCAGGGGGTCAGGGCAAGGTCAGCAGTGAGGGAGGAAGGCAGTCCACAGCCAGTGCTGTGCCCATGACAGGCACAGAGCAGTCAGGTCATGGGGGCTCTGGAAGGCAGGTGGACAGGTCTGTGGCAGAGGAGCAGAGACACCAAGGTACACTTCTGGCCCCAGAGTCAAGGTGGGTGCTGCTGCTGGGGCTGAGGTCACTGCGGGCCAGGCCCTGCGTCAGGCCACCTGCCCACTCTGCGGACAGCCCTCTCCTCTCCAAGGCCCACGTTTGGGGATAATGTCTTCACTAACCAGACAGTAGCCCAAGATACGTAAGTGAAGGCCACCTGGACACTCCCACCTGCTGGTCCCAGGGATACCCAGGATACAGGCAGTGACACAGGGTTAAACACAGTGATGTCACTGGGAATTGTTCCTAGTAACCGGCCACATTACGAGTCACACGCATCCAACAGCATCCACAGCCCCCACTATGAGCACATCTTCAAAGTCCCTGATGAGGTGCAGGCACACCACTCACCCCAAGTGCAAAACGCTGCTTCCCGAACACTCGCTACTCAAACCCAACTCTGGTGTTGGCCTGAGGATATGAGGAAAGGCGCCAGAGGTACCACGTGTCACAGTGGCTCCTCAGGTACTCTGAAGGTCCACGCTTCCTGGAATGGGCATCCAAAGCCTCTCTCACCACCAGAAACAAGGACTTCATTTTTATAAAGAACAAAAATGGATAGCAGGCGATGTCTGCCAAGGTCCACTGGTGCCAGGAACACAGGGCACCTGCACGCACGGCCACTCCCGCTGCTCCTGAGTGGAGCTGGAGTGAGGACGGGGATGTCCCACGCCCTCACCAACAGCTCTGTGCAGGAGACACAGCAGGCGCACAGACGGACCGAGGACCAGGCCCTCAACGTGGCAGGTCCAGAGAGCAGCTCTGCTGACCGGGGATGAAGCACTCGGCATCCCTGCAGGCCAGAACCAGGACAGGTCCAGACTAGCTGGGGTGGCACTGCTCGTGCTGCCTGGAGAGCAGGGCCCCAGCCTGCAGGTCCCCAGAGCCCACATGTGCCTTCTGGGGCTCAGACCTCATCCCAGCCCAGTCCCGCCCAGGCGAGGCTGACAGTGACTCTCTATGAAAGCCCACAGGTACAGAATCAAAACCAGGGGTCCCCACTCCAGCCCAGCCTGTGTGTCCACAGGTGTGCACATACRTGCAGGCCTGTCAGTGAGCTTGGGGCACTGCAAAGACCCCCTGGAGCATGCTGGTGATGCGGAGCATGTGCGAGCTGGCAGGCACACCACCTGAGCACAGGTGTGTGTCTCTGCAGCGTCCACTCCACCTAGACGCCCACCGGGGGAGGGTGCTCACGTCTCAGGAGAGGCAGTTTAGGGTGAAGCTGCATGTGTGCGGCACCATGCACAGGCGCAGGGATGGCAGTTACCACTCACAGGCTATCCCGAAGCTCCTGTGTGTCACTCGGTGTCCCCAAGGACCGGAGGCTCCTCTCCAAGGAGGTCACTGTCCAACAAAAGATGGGAAAGGCACAAGGATTAGAAGGACACTCCCCAACCCATTGCCCTCTGCGTGGCCATAGTGGAAACTGGGCCCTGCATCAGAGACAGCCAGACCCCTATGTGGCCTGACACCAGGGCACAGCAGCCTCCTACAGGCTGGGTCCACCCCTCCTAGCAGAGGCCTACCCAACCCCCACAGGACCTTCTCCCCTATTGTGCCGAAGCAGGCCCAGGCCCATGTACAGTCCACCCACAGCAAGCCCACCTGGGCCTGGGGAAGGCCTGTCCCTCTCCCAGGGATGTATGGGGTGTGGCTCTTGCTCCCCATTCTAGCCTCAGTGATCTCTGTTCCCCCAGCCCTGCCATCGGGGTTCACTCCTTCCTCCCAGGGACTCCTACAGCCACAGAGCCAGTGAGAAGAGCCAGGGTGGGACAGGATCGAGGAGGAGAAGAGCTGACTGGACATGCAAGCAGCCCCCAGCTGCCCCCAAGAACTGGGACTATGGAAGGCAGGACAGTGGGGGCAGGGCAAGGTCAGGTACCAGCTAGCCTCCGATGTCACCTCAGTGACCCAGAGAGCCAGGAGAGAGGGGGCAGGCAGATGGACATACCGTTGGAGTGGATTTGGAAGACACTGGCTGAGGTCTCCTGGCACAGCTCCTGGAGGTCACAAGGAACAACCTGTGTGGCTAGAGGAAGACAGGAGAAGAGGAGGCACAAGATGACCATGTATGACCGGCACCACCAGCTTCTCCAGGTGGTTCCCAGAGGAGGGACCCAGAGGGCCAGCTGCCCTGCACCTCACCCCTCCTGCCTTCCAGCTCTGCTTCCACAGGCAAAGGGTCAGGACAAACACCACCCCTGCCCTCCCAGTACCCAAGCTGGAGGGAGAGGCGGCTGCTCAAGGAGAGGGGATGTGGAGGCTCCGCACCCCAGCAGTAGCCTCCTGGGCACGCACATAAGGACTCCCATCCACACAAGACTCGCACAAGAAGGCTCAGAGCAGCGCTGCTGGGTGGGAAGGAGGAGACTTCCCGCATGCTGTCAGGCCACCAGCAAGGACCAAGACGGGGCCCAGCTACACTGCAGAGTACTGCTCCACTGCTCAGCAGTAAGAGGAACGAGTCCCCCAAACACCAGGCTGGAGACAGATGCCACCAAGTGTGTGATCCCATTCACACCGCACATGCAGAGGTGGCAGCCCACAGAGATGGAGACGGCGGCTGCGGCTGCCAGCAGTCTGGGAGGGGGCGGTGATGCTAGCACAGGCCCATCTGCCCCAGTGGATGGACACGCTCTGCAGTGGGAAGGTGGAGATGGCCACACAACCCTGTGACCACACCAAGGGTCCGTGACTAGCACACTTTAAGAGTCCATCACAGGCTTTGTGCTAAGCACTTTTATCTCAAAGTAACAAAACCACAGAAATCGTCATGGGGAAACTCCAAGTGCTGGGGAAGACAGTGTCCAGATGCGCACTGCTGGGTGACTGTGCAATGTGCAGCCACGCAACGAAGGTCTCGGCCACAGACACCGGGACACCTGCTGCCCTGCGGCCAGCCATCACACTCTGGACACTACACATAGAAACAAAGCCGAGGCCGCAGGAACCCCGGGTAAGAGAGTCCGTGGCAGCTATTCCTAAGAGCCCACCCTGGAAGGTGCAAGTGCAGGGGATGCAGGAAGCCGGATAGGCATATGTGCCCTGCCTGCGGGGGCACCCTGGGCGTGACACTGTGCCAGGCATCAGAGTAACGGTCAGATCTCCAACAGAGGAAGGCAGTCTATGGTGGCTGGGGCTACGCTGGGCTGGGCTGGGGCAGGGCAGCAAGGACTTGCTGAATAGGGGAGGCCCCATGCCTGGACAGGGCTGTGGGCAACACAGTGCAGGCATCTGCCAAAAGGCCCAGAATAGTACCATTTGGTTGCCTGCAGTTCACGCACTTAAAGTTCACCTCAAAAGGAAAGGAGAGGCAGTAACAAGGAAGTGAAAGGAGACCCGAGGGCTTCGGCTGCTCCAAAGGGCTCAGAGGCACCAGGAGGACCAGCTGGGATGGCAGCAGGTGGGATCTGGGCAGTGGTGCACCTGTGGTCACGCTGCCACCCTTTCCACCTTCTCTGCGCTCACAAGTCTCCAAGATAAAACACTTAAGACTGAAGGACACGGAGCAAGGTCTGCCAGGGCATGTGGGGCAGGAGACACCAGGATGCCAATGGGTTGCTGTGGTTCAACTATGAGGTATCCACTCAAGCTCCTGTGTTGACATAGCAGGGGAAATAATGAATCACAAGAGCGATAACCCCATCAGCGGATTAATTCACTTGACGGATTAATAATGGGGCATGGCTGGGAAAAGTAGGCCACCAGGGGGTGTATCCTTGGGGATCATATCTTGTCCTCTGACTACTCCTCCCTTCAGCGACCATGATGTGGGCGATTTTCCTCCACAGTGCACCTTCACCGTGATGCTCCCCACCTCACCTCGGGATCCGTGCGATGGACTTGGCTAGCCATGGGAACCTCTGAAACTGTAAGCCAAATAAACTTCTCCTCCTCTGAACTGTCCCTGTATTCTGTTCACAGCAATGGAAAGCTGACTAACACAGAAACTGGTACCAGGAGTAGGGTCACTGCAGTGATTAACATGACCATAYGGTTCAGAAGCCTTTGGAACTTGTTCATAGGAGGAGTTTGGAAAAGATTAGAGATGCAGGCTGGAGAAAGATCTGAATGTTGTGAGCAGAGCTTAAAGTGCTTCTAGTGAGAGCCCAGAGGACCAGAACCCTAATAGGAACGCAGACAGAACTACGCTCATGGAGTTTCAGAGGAGAATGAGGATTCCATTGGGAACTGGACTAGAGATGTTCATGTTACATTCTGGCAAAAAAAGTTGTCTACGTTTTGTCCTGAGAGTTTGTGTAAGGCTGAACTTAAAGTTGGTGGACTCGCTAATCTGGTGGAAGGAAACTTAAAGGCAGCATTAAAATTAAAACCACAGCTTGGAGGCAGTGGCTCGGATGTTGCCAGCAGCTTTTAGCCAGGTTTACTGTAAGAATCAAGAGCACAAGGCAGAAAGAAAAGATGTGAAAAACTTGCAGTTTGGCCAAAGGAACACGTAATATTAGGGCTCAGGAAGATGTGGGTGTTGAAGAGATGACTGCCACTAAAGAGAAACTAAGTACTTTGCCTAGAGACAATAGGACAATGCTGTGAGGCCATCTCAGGAACTAGAACACCATGCCCATGGCAGGTTCAAGGGTGTAGAAGTGAAAGAGATCACAAAGGCACCCTGCTTTCACAGGGGACCTAGAAAGTTGTTTCCCCAGGATTCATTTCACTGGGTTTAGCTGCCCAGGCACTCCCAGGACACTGTAGCCATGGTCCAAGGGAACCCAGCTACTGCTTAACCTGGCAGCAGACTTTGGCATCATCCATGTGGAGCTGGTTCTGCAGCAATGCACAATGCTGGAGGTAGGGGGCCCAGAGGCTTCCCCTGGACTTCAAAGGAAAGCCTGAGAGGACAAGGGCAGCAGGGTCAGAATCCCTGCCGCTGGCCCTGAGAGGACCATGTGCAAAGCCAGGACAATGAAGCACAAACTGTAGTGGAGACCCCCAGGAGATGCCCCAGGAGACCCCCCAGGAGATCCCCATGAGATCCCCCAGGAGACCCCCAGGAGATCCCCCAGGAGACCCCCAGGAGATGTCCCAGGAGATGCCAATACATGCAACACCTGCCAAGGAAGGCTCTGGCTGTGGTCGGAACAGGCCTAGAGAAGCCACGTGGGTAAGAAAGGCCAACAGGGCAGGCTGCCCAACCCTTGGAGAGGAGATCTCACCACTGGGTGCTCCAGAAGTCAGACAGGAAGCTACAGCACTTTTTTGCCTAACGGGGTTTCAATCTTCTTTCGGTCCCAGCCTTCTGTGTAGGCCTCTAAGCCTTCCTTTTGAAACTGGAATATTTATCCTAGGCCAATGTATAGTGGATATATATAACTTGCCTTTGATTTTTACACTGGCTCACAGGCAAGAGTTTACCTTGAGTCTCAGAGGAGACCTTGGACTTTTGCTGGAAATATAGACTATGGGGACTCTTGGAGATGGACTAAGTGCACTTTGCATTGTGAGATGGACATGAGCTTTTGGGGGCCAGRGTGGAATGCTATGGTTTGGATGTGAGATGTCCCCCTGAAGCTCCTGTATTAATTCAGGAAGTAAAATGGTGAGATTAAATTAGCGTTGTAACTTAGTGGACTAATAATGTGAATGGATTACTGGGTGTTGACCACAAGCAGGTGGAGTGTGCCTGGAAGAGGATGTGCCCTAGAGGGATATATATTGTCCTCCTGGCTCCTCTTCTTTCTCTCTGCTTCCCAGCCACCAAGAGCTGAGCAGCTTCCCTTTGACACTCCCTTCTGCCATAATGTCCTGCCTCACCTCAGGCCCAGAGCAATGCAGTTGGCCGACTTCGGAAACCCAGAGCCAAAGTAAACTGTTCCTCCTCTAAGTTGTTCTTGATAGCTGTTCTTCTTGGTTACAGCAATGAAAAGCTGGTTAACACAGGGAACACCCAAAGGTTTGTGCTCTCTGAGCCAGCCTACGAGCCTAGAACAAAGTACCACCTCCTGGGCTTGACGAGGTTTCTCACTAGGACACAGGCCCAAGCCTACTCCACAGAGTCACAGGGCTGGCTGGACAAAGGCAGGGTCAGCCCTGCCTCTCTAGAATGAGCAGACCCTGCTGATGCACCAGCTCATAGGCTCACAGGTCTGCCATGTCTCTCCCCTGCCAAGCCCCCAGGTCCAGCTGCTATACTCACAGCACAGCCTGGAAGCACAGCTGAGCTGTCTGCAAGACAGGCTGCTTCAGCTCATGTCGCTGGCCTGAGAAACAGCATCTGACAACCCTGCACACACCTCTGCTGCACCTGCAAGGCTCTGGAGCCCCGAGATGCCTTCACCAAGTCCAGGCTCAGGATGGACACAGCCAGGGCACCAAAGAAAGGGACAGGACAGGATAAACTGTGCCCATGGTGGAGGAGTGACCACCACTCTCCAGCAGAAGCACACAGAAGGAGACCAACGACCAGAGTGCCACTCTCCCCACTTACAGATAAAGAGACCAAGGGCAGAGGCAGGAGACCCACCCAAGGCCACACCACACACCCAAGGTCACACCACCAGAAAGGAAAATGTCAACCATGCAGTCCTGGGGGGCTGCCCTTGCCCCTTCCAAATTACCTGTTGGAGGCTTTCAGCCAAATTATTGTGCATGAACTACCACAGTCATGTGGGCAGGCTCCAAGGCCCAAGGTGGCTGTCYATTCCGCAGGATTCAATTCAGGGCTGGAGGAGGAGGGGTGGGTGGCCAGAGCTGCTGTACACAGAGCACCTGCCTGGGAGGAGGCAGGACCCCATGCGATCAGGCATCCTCCTCACTGCCACCCCTCAGCCAACTCATGAGGCAACACTGCAGGGCACTGTTCACTGCTAAGGAACCTCTGGTGTTATGGTTCAGATGTGAGACGTCCCTCAAAAGTTCACGTGTGAGATAATGCAAGAAAGTTTAGAGGATACATAATTAGGTTATGACAGCCTTAATGGATCAGTAAATTAATCCCCTGGTGGGGATTAACTGATTGGTAACTGAAAGCAGGTGGGACGTGGCTAGAGGAGGTGGACATTGGGGTGT